AACACACACACACACACACACACACACACACACACACAACAGTAAGAGGACCAAAAAAAAATGCTACCATGGCTAAACAACAGAGTAAAAGAGGCAGTTAGAGACAAAAAGTCATCCTTTAAAAACTGGAAGTCAAATCCTACTGAGGAAAATAGAAAGGAATATAAACTCTGGCAAGTCAAGTGTAAAAGCATAATTAAGTAGGCCAAAAAAAGAATATGAAGAACACCTACCAGAAGACACAAAAATGAGCAGCATTTTTTTAACTACATCAAAAGCAGGAACTCGTCCAAATAATCAATGGGGCCACTGGATGATTAAGGTGCTAAGGAGTACTCGAGGAAGACAAGGCCATTGCGGAGAAGCTAAATAAATTGTTTGCGTTGGTTTTCACTGCAGAGGACGTGTGGTAGATTCCCACACCAGAGTCATTCTTTTTAGGTGACAAATCTGAGGAACTGTCCAAGATTGAAGTATCAATAGAAAAAGTTTTGGAACAAATTGATAAATTAAACCCTAATAAGTCAACAGGACCTGATGGGATTCATCCAAGAGTTCTGAAGGAGCTCAAATGTGAAATTGCAGAACAACAAACTGTGGCATGTAATCGATCGCTTAAATGAGCCTCTGTAACAGATGACTGGAGGATAGCTAATGTGACACCTATTTTTAAAAAAGCCTTCAGAGGCGATCCTGGCAATTACAGGCCAATACTCTAACTTCAGTACAAGGCAAATTGGTTGAAACTATAGTAAAGAGCAGAATTATCAGACAGATAGATGAGCATGCTATGTTGCAGAAGAATCAACACGGTTTTTGTAAACAGAAATCATGCCTCACCAATCTATTAGAATTCTTTGAGGGGATCAACAAATGCGGACAAGGGTGATCCAGTGGATATAATGTACATGGACTTTCAGAAAGCCTTTGAAAAGGCCGCTCACCAAAGGCTTTTAAGCAATGTAGGCAATCATGAGCTAAAACGGAAGATCTTCTCATGCATCAATAACTGGTTAAAAGATAGGAAACAAAGGTTAGGAATAAATAGTCAGTTTTCACAGTGGAGAGAGGTAAATAGCGGAGTTCCCTAAGGATCTGTACTGGGACCAGTACTATTCAACATATTCATAAATGATCTGGGAAAAGGGGTAAATGGTGAGGTGGCAAAATGTGTAGATAATACAAAATTACTTAATATAGTTAAGTCCAAAGCTGACTGTGAAGAGTTACAAAGAGATTTCACAAAATTGGGTGACTGGGCAACAAAATGGCAGGTGAAATTCAGGGTTGATAAATGCAAAGTAATGCACATTGGAAAACATAATCTCAACTATACATACAAAATGATGGGGTCTAAATTAGCTGTTGCCACTCAAGAAAGAGATCTTGTAGTCATTGTGGAGAGTTCTCTGGAAACATCTGCTCAATGTGCAGCAGCAGTCATAACAGCTAACAGAATGGTAGGAACCATTAGGCAAAGTACAGATAATAAGACAAAGAATATCATAATGCCACTAAATAAGACAAAGAATATCATAATGCCACTATATAAATTAGGACTGTCGAGTGATTAAAAAAATTAATAATGATTAATCACGCTGTTAAACAATAATAGAATACCATTTATTTAAATATTTTGGATATTTTCTACATTTGCAAATATATTGATTTCAGTTACAACACAGAATACAATATTTGCGTTGTAAAAAAGAAACAAAATAAATAGTATTTTCAATTAACCAATACAAGTATTGTACTGTAATCTCCTTAGCACGAAAGTTGAACTTACATATATAGAATTATGTACAAAAAAATAACTGCACTCAAAAATAAATCATATAAAACTTTAGAGCCTAGAAGTCCACTCAGTCCTACTTCTTGTTTAGCCAATCGCTCAGACAAACAAGTTTGTTTACATTTGCAGGAGATAATGCTGCCTGCTTCATCTTTACAATGTCACCTGAAAGTGAGAATAGGCATTCTCATGGCACTGTTGAAGCCGGCGTGGCAAGATATTTACATGCCAGGTGCACTAAAGATTCATATGTCCCTTCATGCTTCAAACACCATTCTAGGGGACATGCATCCATACTAATGACAGGTTCTGCTCGATAACAATCCAAAGCAGTGCACATGTTCATTTTCATTATCTGAATCAGATGCAACCAGCAGGTTGATTTTCTTTTTTGGTGGTTTGAATTCTGTAGTTTCTGTATGTCCCACACCTCGTCCCTCTCAGATTTTGGAAGGCACTTCAGATTCTTAAACCTTGGGTCAAGTGCTGTAGCTATCTTTAGAAATCTCACATTGGTACCTTCTTTGCATTTTGTCACATCTGCAGTGAAAGTGTTCTTAAATTGAACAACATGTGCTGGGTAATCATCTGAGACTGCTATAATACGAAATATATGGCAGAATGTGGGTAACACAAAGCAGGAGACATACAATTCTCCCCCAAGGAGTTCTTTCACAAATTTCATTAATGCATAATTTTTGTAATGAGTGTCATCAGCATGGAAGCATTTCCTCTGGAATGGTGGCCGAAGCATGAAGGGATATACGAATGTTTAGCATACCTGGCACATAAATACCATGCAATGCCGGCTACACCAGTGCCATGCAAATGCCTGTTCTCACTTTCAGGTGACATTGTAAATAAGAAGCAGGCAGCATTATCTCCCATAAATGTAAACAAATTTGTTTTTTCTTAGTGATTGGCTGAACAAGAAGTAGGACTGAGTGGATTTGTAGGCTCTAAAGTTTAACATTGTTTTGTTTTTGAGTGCAGTTGTGTAACAAAAAATCTACATTTGTAAGTTGCAATTTCACGTACTTGTATGAAGTGAATTGAAAAATACTATTTCTTTTATTTTTACAGTGCAAATATTTGTAATAAAAAATAATAATATAAAGTGAGCAGTGTGCACTTTGTATTCTGTGTTGTAATTGAAATCAATATATTTAAAAATGTAGAAAAACATCCACAAATATTTAATACATTTGAATTGGTAGTCTATTGTCTAACAGTGCATTAAAACTGTGATTAACTTTTTTAATCGCAATTAATTTTTTGAGTTAACGGCAATTAATCAACAGCCCTAATATAAATTCATGATATGCCCTCATCTTGAATACTGTGTCTGGTCACCCATCTCAAAAAAGATGTATTAAGATTGGAAAAGGTTCAGAGAAGGGCATCAAAAATGATTAGGGGTATGGAACAGCTTCCATATGAGGAGAGTTTTAAAAAGACTGGGACTATTCAGCTTAAAAAAGCAAGGCCGAAGGGCAGCTATAATAGAGGTCTATAAAATCATGACTGGTGTGGAGAAAGTGAACAGGGAAGTGAAATTTACTCTTTCACACAACACAAAAACCAGGGGTCACCCAATGAAATTAATAGGCAGCAGGTTTAAAATAAACAAAAGAAGCACTGCTTCCCACAACGCACAGTCAACCTGTGGAACTTATTGCCAGGGGATGCTGTGAAGGCCAAAAGTATAACTAGGTTCAGAAAAGAATTAGATAAATTCATGGAAGATAGGGCCATCAATGGCTATTAGCTAAGATGGTCAGAGACGCAACCTCATGCTCTGGGTGTTTCTAAGCCTCTTGCTGGCAGAAGCTGGGACTAGATTGCGGAGGATGGATCACTCAGTAATTGCCCTGTTCTGTTCATTCCCTCTGAAGCATCTGACACCAGCCACTGTCGGAAGACAGGCTACAGGACTATATGAAGCATTGGTCTGAATCTGTATGGCCATTCTTATGGGAGAAGTAAGTTTCTGCAGCCCATGGAATGGTGTATCTTACTGCCGTCTTCACACCTGGCCAGCTGCTCTGGCCAAACACAGGGGCGTGGGGAGGGAGGAGAGCAAAGGATCTACCCATTCTCCTCCTTTCTCTCTCTACCCCCCTCTTCATCCTCTGGCTTCCTCTAGAGACCGGGGGAAGAGCTCTCCAATACTCAGACCCAAGATCCAAGGAGGGGAGTAAAGCAGGACAGAATCTAGTCCAGGGGTTCTCAAGACAAATTATTTCATGGCCTCAGAGTGCAGCCACCAACTCTCGCTGGTGGCCACACTAACACTTTTCCCCTAAAATATTTAGTTAGGTTTAGGAAAAACAAAGAAATATGCACATAGACACGTCCAAATCATTGTAATTTATTTATTGCCAGCTAGTAAGTCTGCTGTGAAAGGTGATAGTAACAAACACACAGGTATCACTTTTCACTGCATACTTACTCAGTCCCGGCAAGTCTGGGGACAAATTAAGCCCTGGATGGGGGGGGCTGGGGGAGGCAGCAGGGGCCAGGGGCGATGGGGATGGATGGGTGGCAGCAAGAGGCCACAGGGGGCGGAACCAGAAGCCCTGCGGCTAAGGGACAGAACCCGATGCCACATGGCCAGAGCCTGGGGCTGGAGCCCGATGCCACGCAGCCAGAGCCTGCCATCCCGACACCCCCAGGCTGAAGCCCAAAGTCTGAGCCCGACCGCCCCAGGAAGGTAGGGAACTCACCAGCTGCCTGCTCCTCCAGCATTGTGCCCAGGTGTCTCCACGGCGGGGGGAGGGCAGGGACCAACCCCTGCTGGAAGCCCCAACACCAAGGCTGTGCATCCAGGAGCACCAGGGAGCGGGTGGGGAAGGGGCTGCTCTCCCCCTCTTCCCCCCACACATCCCAATCACAGCCCAGGAGGCCACAAGAAAAGCCCCTGATGGCCGCATTTGAGAAACGCTGATTCTAGTCTAGCATGTTTCTGTGTATTACCATATGTTACAAAACCACTGGATTATCATCTACATAATCCCATAGGACTAGACTGTGCATTTTAGAGACATCCCGGGTTGCACTGGGAGGAGAAAAACATTCCCTTCTCATGGTGCAGCGTACTCTCACTGGGTACCTGGCCAGCTGTGTTGATGGGCACATGGGAGTAGAGGACCGCAGACATGGCTGTGCTTATGACTCACTTTTCCTTGCCTACTCATCACACATTTGGTCTGGTGGGTGAGCATCTGGTCCCTGCACTCCCACACATGCTAAAGCTGGGATACCTGAAAATCTAACATGGCCACACTTACTCTCTGCCATTCCCCTGCATGGTCGAGTTAGGGCTAGTGACAACTGAGCCCCAAAATTTCAAAGAAAATCACCAAGAATGTGTATAAATCTTTCTCCTGTCATGTTAGCTGAAAGTAGTTTTCACCAGACAGAGTGGTGCAGGCGATTTAAAAAGCTGAATGTAATGATAGGTTTCAGATATTTTGTATCACCTTAAATGAATATACAATATTTTCCTCAAAAACCACAAATATGGAGGGGAGGGAAGAAAAAACAGCTTTTCCACACATCTCGACTGGCAATCAGCGCTTAGAAATATAACTGCAGTGCACAAACCAAGAGACCAAAACTTTCAAGTGTCTTCTCAGATCTCAGACACTTAGCACTGCTGGGAAATGACAACTGACATCAGAAAGAAAAGTGTTGGAATTGCCATTTAAAGGAGAGGCACTGACTCCGTGAGTGCTCAGGGGCTCAAGCACCCATGGAGAAAAAATAGGGGGTGTTCAGCACCCATGGGCCTGCCCGGGGCTAGGGCTGGCTGCTAATCAGCTGTTCAGTGGCTGTACCACCAATCAGCTGTTGAGCCACTTGCACCTCTCTGCCCCCTCCCCACTCACTGCCCTTAAGGCAGGAGGGGGCAGAAAGGAGTGAGCTGCAGGCAGGAGGCGCTCAGGAGAGGGGATTTCGGGGGAGGGGTGGAGTGGGGCCCTGGGGAGGGTCTTGGGGAGGAGGCAGAGCTGGTGTGGGACACCCACCAGCAAAACCAAAAGCCAGCACTTATGAAAGGAGATACAATGAATGTCCTCTCAACCTAGGGAAGGCAATGTAGAAAATCAGGTTTACTGACCTGATACCTGTAGTTCCAATGCAGCTTCCTGATATGAGAACTCTGATCGAAAGAAACACATGTACAGCCCTGAATCAGAGAGTCTGATATTGCCTATCCTCAAGGCAACTCTTCCATCAGCCAGGCCGTCTTTCAGAAACTCTGTCCTTTGCCGATATTCTGACATCTGCTCCGTATACTGATCCTTCCCTTCACGGTACAGGTGCACAACTGAAGAAAACTGAGCCCGGTACCATCGTACCTCCATGTTCTCAGCACTCATGCTGGGTGACAGGTGACAGGCTAATGTGACTTCATCACCTACAGAAGCGGTGATAGCGTGATTGGGTCCAATCACTGAGAAGTGTGCTGTTAAATGGAACAGGACACAAAAGCAATTGAATTCGAGAAGAACTGAGAATAGGATTTTAATTTCCTGGTCAGGCACAATATATACAAAATATATCCCTTACAGCTTTTCAGTGCATTGTGGTTGTTCATGGGTCCTGACTTCATATGTGAATTTTAATACACTTCCCGGTTAGCTTTCAGGAGAAATGCTAGCATTTGATGGAAAATTATTCAAATGGAGAATTAAAATAGGAATTTATTACAAAAATGGATGAAAAATATTGCAGATCAAATTTTGCCGCCAGATACACACAGATACAACCCTCAGTGACTTGAACGAGCGTTGCATAGTTGGTAGGTTGCATGGCCCACTGAATGGGATACTAACCATATACCCTGACATTCAGGGTTCTAGCCATCTTTCTGTCACTAGCTTTTGTGGCAACTCGGGGAATACGCTTCCCCTCTCTGTGCCTCAGTTTCTTCATTTGTAAGAATGACCTTCTTTTGTATGGATTTTGAGATATGCAGATGAAAAGAGCTAAGCAGTATTATCATCTGTGTGCAATATTTGGCCAGACTATTTTCCAGTATAATTTTAAGACCCACATTTTCTAAAATAGCCTCTAACTCAAAGTTCTACACTTAAAATCTTATGTCCACAATATTGAAGGTCCAAATCTATATACATTAAAAAGCTAATATTTGCATGTGCAAACAGTGTCTTTGTGAATAACCCTGATAGATAATTTTCATTTAAAAAACTCCCTTCCCTGAAATAACATTTATACACTAATGGCCAAGATTTTGGCCAAATGGTGTAAAGTGATTTTATTGGTGTTTCAGTTTTTAGATGTTTTAATTGGCACCTCTTGAAAGTCAGGGCCCTTTGATGTCCTATAACGGGCTTCCATTATACATCTGATTTCAACTCTCTTCCCCTTCCTTTCACCTTGTATGTATTAGAAGCTGGGCTGAATAATTATTGTTGTAGGTTAGGCTAAGTGGGTGTGGCTGCATTTTGGATGGCCATGGGAAACAGTTAGGCTCCCTCATAGCAGTTCCCCATTGGGCAGAGAAATATGCAAGCCCATATACAAATTACAAATACGTAGGTGGATGGCTTTGCTGAGTACTGTTGGACCAGAGAGGTGGGTCAGGGGTTGAGTGGGTGTGTTAGAAAAGTAGGAGATATGGCACACGGAGAGAAGCAGAAAGAAAGGCAGGCAGATGCAACATGGAAGCACAGAGGCCATGGGTGGCGTGTGACTCCTCTATTTGGGGAGGTTGGGGGTGCCCGGACTGTGGCCCTGCCCCGAGGCCCGCCTCCCCTCAGCCTGCCCCCACTCCAAGGCACCCGTGCCTCAGACCCTCTTCACCCTCAGCCCCCCCCCGCCTGCCAGCCCCTCACACACCTCTTCACTCTCTCCCCTGGCCCCCCCGCCCTCCCGCTCACACCTCTTTGGCCACTCCCACCTGCCACTAGCACATGATGCCTGGGAGTAGACCTGCTTGAATAATGTGTAAAAAACACTGGATTCTCTCTTAAAATTTGTAACTGTTTTTTTGGGTTGGTTTTGTGTTTTCCAAAATGCTGATAACATTTTTTTTTACATGAACTGCCTGTTCCTCTTCACTTATTCCTGTTCCCCTTACCTCCCCCCAACTTCCTAAGCTTCCAGGGGCTCTGCAGCTGCAACCAGCCTGACCCCATTAAGGTAGAGAAGAGAAGGAGGGAAGAAAGGGTGTCCCACAAGAATGGAAAACCTCTGTCACTGTCTACCCCTTTAAGGCTACCATCCTGCTGTAATGTGAGACCAAGAGAGAAGCAGAAGGATATGCAAGCGCTGTCAGAAGGAATCTGAACCTGTTTGTGCCTGAGTTTTCAGTTCATGAAAAATCTGAACAACATTTTTGATTAAAAAAAAATTCAGTCACATTTTTGTTTAAAATGTCATGAACATTCTTCCCCAAAATTGGTCCATTTGAAACCCTTCAAAAGAAAAACAACTTGGAAATTTCATTTTTTCCCCATGGAATTAATATTTCATTTACAGGAGGCACCAGAAAGTATGTTGAAAAGTAGGAATTCTTACCTGAGTCCAACTTGTGAACAAGAAGAGAAATGAAGATTATGATGTAACCAAGAAGGGAGGAGCTCCCTACTGAGCTCTTGGACGCAGAGAAAGGTCTCATCTTCATTTTAGTTGGTGCTGGGCAAAAAACCCAACAACAATAAAAAAAGCCAGAAATAAGTGAGTGTCAGCCAGTGAATTTGATGCAAATATGGTGAATATTACATAAAATACCCTGAATATTTTATTTGCTTTGAAGGTTGAAAACTGGGTGATCCATTAAAAAATATCTCCTAAGTAGCTTCCAAATATTTATCTTACCACCTGCTTCTCTTTATACTCCTGGGATTAGTTAGCTGGTAAACTTTTTGAAGTAGGGGCCAATTTATGTTCTGTATTTGTACAGCCCTTAGCATAAGGGAGTCCACGTCCATGACAGGGACCCATGGGTGGCACATAAACCACCTGTTTGTGGGGGCTAGGCCCCAGCCATGCCCCTTCTGCCTGAGGCCCCTCCCCTCCACTGCTGGAGCCCCCCATCATGGCCAGAAGAGCCCTGGCCCAGCTGTCCTAAGTCCTGGCCCCTTGGCCGGCCCTGGCCACCAGCTCCCCCATCCCAGCCTCAGGCTGCCCTGACCAGCCTACCCCAGTGCCCCCAGCCCCGGAGTGCCAGGCGGGCGGTCCCAGTGCCCCCAGCCCCGGAGTGCCAGGCGGGCGGTCCCAGTGCCCCCAGCCCCGGAGTGCCAGGCAGGCGGTCCCAGCACCAGGCAGCCTGAGCACTGGCCCCAGGTGTCCCAAGTCTTGGGCTGCCAGCCCTAGCCCCAGCCCCCACCCACTTTGGGAAGAGGAGCAACCTGGGCTGGAGCCATGGGGGAAGAGCAAGAGGCAGGAGGGGGCCTTAGGACAGAGCGTGGGCAGGGCAACACCTGGCTGTTTGGGGAGACTTAGACTCCCCTGGTCTGTGATACCCACCGCCCAAGCAGGGACCCCTGGGCACTATGATAATACAAATTATGATTATCATTAATTAGAAGCCAAGAAGTCAGGATGAAAATCCTCCATATCTTTGCTCTGGAATTCAGTCTCTTAATTAATGGATGAAGTAATGAAAGGGTGGATACAGCTCCACTACACATCTCAGTGCTCTGCTAGTGGGAGGCTATAGAAGCAGAACACCCATATTCCAAATATAGGAAAATATAGATACAAAGGACATGAGGGAATTAGTCTCCTACTCTGCAGAGACACCCATTCTTAGAGAAAAAGGTGAGAAAGCAGCTTCCTCCCCTCCATATGCTCCCATCTTTGAAAACCTTCTTGAGACAGCACATGCGGGTAAAATATATCCTTTCCCCGCAGTAATATACAAGAAGGCAAACTATATAAGAATGTCATTAGCTGCAGATATAATATCCCATCAGTCTTCCCGCAGAACTCTATGTTAATGAGAGTGGAGAGTTCTGGGTGAGAACTGAATGTTAGTGTCCTAATCATAATAACGAAAGAAAGTACCAGCCTCTGACATAAGCTAATATTTTGACAACATTTAAATGCAAAGTAAGAACCTGACGGTTTATCTGTGGATGTCCTAGGACCAGTGTCTATTTGACATTAACAGTTCTTCTAAAGAATAAATGCCACAGAGTGAGTAGGGAAACCTAGAAAAAAGCAGACTAGATGGTATTCAGATGAACAAAGATCACCTACCTGATGAATCCTGGAGCAAAAATACTTCTGAGTAATTTCAGGCTCCCCACAGTGTTCTCAGCCATCTTAACATCCTCTTCAAAACATTAGCGTTAACGTAATATTTTTAGTGAATATGTCAGTTGAGGAGGGTGCATCATTACCGCTACATATAAAGTTGGAGTTTTACATTAGCCTGATTCTATTTTTACCCCTTTACCTGATGTGTTTTGCACTAATTTGAAATGTTCTCGCACTGCGCTCAGTAACTTTAGAAGTGAAAGTAGATTAGCAGCCAGGATCCTTATCGTGTGCTGGTTATAATGGAGAGATAAAGATGCTATCTTAAAGAAAAACACAACAATAAAAAGTATTTCCAAGGCAGCCGTTTTGATTTTCCAAGGTTCTCCGTTTGCCTGATGATAATTATAATTTTGAAAATGTTCTTTTTCCCATGCCCCCAAGCATTATGAGGCTAAAATAAAATTGTATTTAGAAGGCAACCATCTGTCTCAGTTTTCTGCTGGGGAGAATCATCTATGCCAAATTTATCTGTATTTCTTCAGCTATAGCTAATATTACATCACTTCATAATTGTGCAGAGCAAACAGGCTGCATTTCAATGGGACATCCATATAATACCCAGAATTACTTGTAAACTAGAAACACTTGAAGAAAGGTGGAGGATTGTTCAAAAGGCAGGGACCATATATGGTAAGTTAAAAAAAATGGGGAAGACAAGAAAAACAGAGACTTCATGGACGTTTCCAAATACATTCTGCTAACCTTAGTAACATACAGGAATACAGAACCACATTGGGAGCTTCTGTTTCCTCTTTTTCATATAATAGAAGGAGAAATAGAACAACTAATGAAATGTAAGGGCAGCTATTTTAAAAACAGAAAAAAGGAAAATATTTTTCACAAACAAATAGTTAACCTTTGAAACCAACTGCCACAGTCATTACCTGAGGCCAGAGGTTTATTGGAGTCAAAGGAGAATTAGTCATTCTGGATAATGAAAACAATTAAAGTTAGAGCCAGGGTAAAAATTACAAGGGACTTTCTGTTTAATGTCCCAAAGTATAACTGGGTTCAAAAAAGAACTAGATCAGTTCATGGAGGATAGGTCCATCAATGGCTATTAGCCAGGATGGTCAGAGACACAACCCCATGTTCTGGGTGTCCCTAAACCTCTGACTGCCAGAAGCTGGGATTGGACAACAGTGAACGGGATCACTCAACAATTGCCCTGTTCTGTTTATTGCCTCTGGGGCACCTGGCAATGGTCACTGACACTATCGGAAGACAGGATACTGGGCTAGATGGACCTTTGGTCTGAACCAGCATGGCTGCTTTTATGTTCTTATATGTGTAACCTTTCTGCCAGTCTGAGTTGGCAGCAACAAGGGCCGGGTTCAGTATCTAGGGGTTCCGTTTCAATAACAAAATGCAAAACCGGCTCGAGCCCCCACCCAGTGACCTGGGACAATTACATACCACCCCCACCCCCCTCCGGGCACCTTTAAGAGGCAATACTTCCCCTCTCGCAAGCACAGAGTCTGAGTGTAACAAAATCCTTTTAATAAAGGAAAGAAACAATGCAGCATTATGTTGGGGAAACACAACAAACAAGATTTATAAAACAACCCATGAGCAGGGTCTTAAGTCCAGCAATGCAAAAGATCACCCAGAGTCCCAACAGTCCAACACCCCAAAAGTCTAACAAACCAAAAGTCTCCGTCCCTGGTCAATGAAGCACCAGAGTTCAAAAGTTTATCTGCAGAGTTTTACCCGCCCCCCCAGTCTGGGTGGAAATGGGAGGAGGCGTTAAGGGGCACTTTACATGGTCCAAGGCCAACTGCCACGCCTCTCCACAGGGTTCTGCTGCGGCCTTCACCACGAGCCGCTCCAACCGTCCCTTGAACTGCTCCACTCTGCCAGCCGCTCCGCTCTGCTCCACCAGCCGTCCCGTGAACCGCTCCAGCTGCCCCGCAAACTGCTCTGCTCTGCCAGCCACTTAGCAATAGATCTTCAGGCCCCCCACTAGTTAACACAGCACTCAGTGATTTTAGCTCTTCAGTGACTTCAGCTTGTAGTAGAGGAGCCCCAGTGCAGATGCACGAGTGGCCCAAAGTGAATTCTGCTCAGCAGCCTGTAACTAGATACTTAATAGAATCAAAATTAGCTTTAATATTCAGAAGGTGGTTGTGGTTGTTTCAGGCCCTCAAAAAGGCCCCATGCCACCAGATACAAATACCTATCCCAGCCTCTTCCAATTCACTGGGTTTTGGAACCCATGTCCCTTGTCTAGCAAGTGCTACTTAGGTGATGGTGAGACCCTCTGTCATAAAAGTTTCATTGTCCTTGATTCACATAATCAGGGTAACAACACTTTATTCCTCATATTCCTCCTGCCCCAATAACAGAGAAACTGGGGATCCCACAGCAGCCAAAGTGACCATTTTGGGCTGCTGTGGGCTCATGCTAGGCAGGGTGGGTGTGCCTATGCAAACAAGATCAGCCCCTGAAGTTCTTTTCCACACTCACCACAATTCACCACCAGATGTCAGGGTAGAGCTCATCCTGACTCAGCTTATAGATTTAAAATTTTTATTAAGATGATGTTAAAAAAAAAAGTGAACAGAGTTTGAGCATAGAAGTTTCTGGTTATTAGGGATTAACGTCCAGATTATCGAGGGTGCAAAGTTTGGTTTAAGATTGGATGGCATAAGGAATACATAATCTGCAATATCCCCGATTGGGGGTAAAAGGTTGATGCGTCAAAGTACAGCATTGAGATATGAGGGTATGAAGTTCATACTGGAGTATAATGAGTGGATATGATGATGAGGATGGATTAACCCT